GGTGGCGATTTTCCATTGTGGTCTGGTGAGTGAAAAGACGTCTTGAACGACAAACTCGATGTCCATAGGCAGGGAAGATTTCGTTTGAACATAGTACTATCAAACAATATTAGCTGGCATTCAGTGTCACAAAACTGAAACATGCCCTAGTGTTGCAGCCCTCACCTGGAAGAAAGATAGAAAGTAATCCAGCTTCTTGCCGGCAGCTCCTCGATTAAAAAACATTCCGCAGGTTTCCAACATCGTAGAAATGAGGCGAATACGAAAGAAGTCATCTGGAGCGTCGAATGGGTTAAGTCGACCGGGAATTGGTGGTCCTCCTACGGCAATAATAAGCAAAAAAAAAGAGAAAGAAAGAAAGAAAGAAAAGAAAGAAGGAAAGAATCCTTTGCCAGGGAGCCCATTGTAACTACTCACCATATCCAAATGTAAGAATTTTGTACATGGTGTCAAAGATGACAGGGTGCTCTAGCATCCTGTAATTATAAAGTTCTCCGAGATATTTCACTTCTGCAATTCGGCGTTGGAAGAATCGAAAATCATTTTGTTCTAAGCCTAAGTTGACCGACTCAATAACATTGTCGATCACTTTAACAACGAATTCTGGGTGATAACGGTAGACAGCGCTCAGGAGAATGCCTAGCAGGTGAATATTTCCATACTTCACCTTTCCAGGTTTGGAAAAAACCTTTTCAAGGATAGACACGACCTGGTAAATCTGAGTCAGCAATCTCTGTGTGGATTTCGGTCGGACCTGCGATCATGATCCGCCCAGCCATACCTCAGTTTCTTCCCAGTGGAGCCTCCGAATTTGCTTCAGAATTTTGCTATAGTTGCGTTTAGTCATGTCGCTATACACCAACTTCGCAATAAAGAGTTCCATTGGAGTTCGTTCCTTCTGCTCAATAGCAGGCCGTTCAGGAGGATCGACGTAGTATACAGCATTGTCGATGAGCATACGCTCGGGTTGTCCAATGTGCTGTACAGATTTTTTTCGCTGCAAAGTTTCGAGAAAGCTGGCCATACGTGGTGCAGTCTCGGGGTTCTTGAGAAGGTATCTGCCACAATTTTCGATCAGGTTGCACAAAATTTCGATATTCATGCGCGAAAAGTCGTCAAGGCTGACTTTAAGGCAATGAAATACAACATGTTCAGGTACGACACCAAACTTGGTAAGTTCAGCCAGGTATCGAATATTGCTGAGCCTGACTTGTCCCAAAAAATCCTTTTCTTTTCTCCGCTGCAAGCTTCGAAATTCTGCATCTAGGTAATCAACCAGTCCTTTGGGTACGTCGGGCATATATCTGCCAAGTGTAGCTACTAATCGTGACCAGGACGGGAGTAAGTCGCTTCTCCCCTTCGGAACTTCTGTGAGGGCTTTCACAAGTCGATTGCGAGAGGCTTTGGAGTTGAGAAAGCAAAAGTCAATGGCAGTTTGGTCAATAACGTCCTTGTTTGTAAGCTCTGGTAAACGGGCCAACAAGGCATCGACTTGAGCACCAATAGTCTTATTAGCTATCGCCATTGATTGATCTTCAACAGCTTCAGCAGCAGCCTTTGCGGAGTCCGAGTATTCGGAGACGGCGTCCGTTCTCTTGCCAACTTGTTCCTCGCCGTCGGCCTTCTTCCTCCTGCCGTCTTCAAGTAGAATCGGCGGGACTTTGCCTTTGAGGTCGACGAGATTTTCATAAAATCGACGCTCATCCTCATCTGTCCATATTCCGGCACCTTCGCCCATAGTTCGCAAATACTCGCTAGTCTTGACCAAGCCTATTGAGCCACTGGAGCTGGCAAGGGCATCGTCCGACTCTTTCAAATCGGGCATCTCAGCGCCAATAGCATCAGCAATGACCTGCGCATTAGATACCAGGCGTTCCTGCGCTTTGACCTGCTTCTCGTAGTTCGCTTGGCGGTCCTCGAACACTTCACCGGATTTTACGTAGGCTTCGGCATTTCGACGAGCTTGAGACTGGATAGACTTTTGGTCCCTCACAATATGCGCTGCCACATCGTCAAAATACTTTTTCAAAACTTTCCTGAATCGCTCTGCCATGTCGGGTGGTGTGAATGGTTGCTGATCTAGAGTCTGGTTTAACTCGGTGGCTTCGTCCACCACTTGTAAGATGTCGTTCTGGCTGCTTGTAGCACCATCTTCCTCGACCGTTTTCCGACCGTCTGACCCGGTCGGCTTGATGCCTAAAATATCCCAGCTGAATGATTTAACAAAAATGACAAGTAGTGGCAAATTGGCGTGTTCCCGGTCATAGCCAAGGAGGTCTTTGAGCACTTCTAGGGGGAAAGGTTCAGCAGCACCACCAGCCTTTGTTGAGCTCGCTCGATTCTTGAGCTCAACAGCCTTCCCAGTAGCAGCACCCTTTGTGGCATCATCAGGTTTCGTGGCATCATCCAGGGTTCTGACAACGCCAACCAACCACAGCTCGGTGATGACTCGCAGGAGGGCTCTCTGACGGGTGATTCTTTCTTTTTCTTCTTTCTCGCGGACATCGATGGCCAGACTCTTGAGAGAAGTCTTGTCGGGAGTAGCCATTCCCTTACCCAGTAGCCAGGCGAGGTACTCGGTGAACTCGGTCGGTCCAAAGCGCTGGTGTAGGGCGCTCACAATTTCAACGCCAGCTTCAATCTCCCCCGGAGACTTGAGCCTGCAAAGACCCTCATAGCAGGCGGCTATTATCTCGGAGAGATACTTGTGCAGGCTCAGAGTCCGAATTTCTTGTAAAAAAGTGGCCAGTGTAGCGGGGCTGATGGCGGTCCGAAGACGCTTGATGAAGGCTGTATTTTTTTTCAGCGATGAATCGAGTGAATTGGAAATGACAAGAATATCTGCATAGGGACTAGGTTAGCTAGAGTTCAGTGAGCAGTAGATGATATGAGAGACAAACCATCCTCCCCATCCCATGCCCTCATATTCAGGGTGCGCAGCTCGCCTGTTGTCAAGTGTTGTCAGTCATGGCAACAGATGTTTAATGGTAAGCGAACAGGTTACATACGCTTCCTTTGCCGGTCCATGACAAACCCTTGATGCTCGTGACAAGCCAAACGTAGCTCGAGGATGGCGGTAGATAGTTGACGATGACGATGCACGTGGAGAGGGCAATCAGAAACGGCACTGCAGGTGTTGCTGTCAAAAGCCAATCAGCGAGCAGATTTGCAAGATTTTGTGGGCTGTGCTGCATGTCAAGACATTATTAACTAATGTCTAGTCTAGTAAGTTAGTAACTACCTAGGTACCCAGTGCCTACTCCGTCCAGTTGCACGAAGAGCATTCAAGGCTCCAGTTTGCAATTTGCTCGGTGAATATTGAATATTAAACTGGTGTGTCCTAACAGAGTTAAACAAATTCCGAGGTTGCTTATGGTCGTATGTTTTTCTGTCTAGGGCGGCCGGAGTCAAAATTTTCAATGTTGTCAAATGTCTACCGGGAACCTGGTGTTGCTCCCGTCCCTGTCCCCTTCCTCCGCGGCAGTCACAGAGTCACAGTGCCTCAGGTACCGAGCTACTAGGCACCTACTAGGTGGAATAGTATGGGCCAGCATGGCAAGTAACGTCAACGTTGAAATGGTCTATGTCATCCTGCTGCATGTGCCGACAACTTGCGGGACATGGGACCTATCAATTGATTTGTACCTACTAGTAGTAGGTTCATGTCGTCTGGTGCTTCTACGCTGGACAGACTACGGAGTGCGCGTAATTTAATGTAAAGTTGCGGGAGAAGCCAGTTGCACTGGCGTCCCCAACCCAATGTCAAGGCCATGCATGGAACCTAAGACCCCAGATGCCCTTATCACATTCAAGATAAGCTTCGACGCCACGACATGGGGCCTCCCTACACCAGTTAACAACTTCCAACCACACAGAGGCCTCGGCCGGTCGATAAGTTCACCGTATCGACTATCAACATACGCCTCGTTCGAAATGATAACAACTCATGTGCACAAATATCAATCCCTCCAACATGACTGGACATGGCCAAGGTGTCCGCCCTGGCTAGCTGCTTCTAGACTGGCCGCACGCGCCTCCGTTCTGATTAGTCTTACGGAGTAGAATCCCCTCTGTCCGGCCCGGCCACAAGACTAATGATGCGTCGGACGACCTGAAGCATATTATTCCAAAGACTACATTGAAAGCCTTGGAAAGCCTCATCCACGGCACTAAGTTGGCGGTAGCTACCGGGACCGCGATTTTTGTCAGAACTTCCGTCGCTCAATCTTGGCTTCCTGCCCGCGGCGTGGAAAAGGCCTAGTTCGTTTGTCACCACCCATGACGTGAATTCAACCTTCCTCCCTCCATGGTCGGCGTCAAATGTCTCCCTGGCACTAGTTACAGAGTCGCATACCGAGACCGTGCCCCATATCCGATAGTGGTCCGATTCTTTTGAAGCCGACCCAGCCGTTTAACCATCGCCTTTGTCCGTGACCATCGCCATTGCCGCGGCTCATGCATCTCCGGAGAGTGAACCCTTATCTCCATCCACTCCACAACCCCCTGATACCCTTCTGCGTCGCAAATGGAGATTTCCGCGGAAGCAAGCTGGTCTTGGAGTACATACGGTCTATCAAATGCTGTCTCGTCAACGCGTGACGTTCAGACTCGAGAGTGGCATGGCTATGATTGGCAACTTTCCAACCTTAGAAAAGTAATCGGCTTGAAATTGTGCAGTCAAAAAGGGCATACCATGTGTAAGATTTATTCCGCATATCCGGGTGCTTCGAGCTTTGACACTTGATGAGATTCTGGTAATTTCTATCCCGTCTGGACAATCTCGACCTGAAAAGCAAAGCATCTTTATTCCACGCTATATCCTCCGATAATGCGGATAGCTTTTTAGGGACTTGCTATTTTGCATCATACATGTGCCTTCTCTATTCACCCCAATCCGTTGTCCATTACTTGCTTGGAGCGCCTGTTACGTGTAGCTCTATCCTTTAGCCTTCGACTGAACCTTTATCTCCCGCACGCCCTGTGTCTGTTTGAGGTTCAACATGCCCCAATCTGGAAGCAACTCGGAACCGGGTTTACTACAGACAACCGTTGTATTCCCTCCGAGCCCCCCTAGCACCGTGGGAAGATCTCGAAGGTGTAGTGTGGATGGCAATCCCAACGATATCGCCTTCCCTGTATCGCCTACCGTAGCAAACGACGACTCCCCTATCTATCCTCTACCCCCAAAAAATTCGAAAAAATCAGTTCGACCAGAGGACCTCAAAACACCAGATAGCCACGTTGCAAGAGACGCTCGCCTGATTCGACTAACCGGCATACACCCATTCAATTGCGAACCTCCCCTGCGCGACTTATACGATGAAGGGTTTTTGACTAGTGAGGACCTTCACTATGTTAGAAACCATGGACCGGTACCCCGATGTGACGATGGTGACATGGATCAGTGGACATTCACCGTCGAGGGCCTGGTTGAGAATCCATTTACTCTTAGCGTCGGGGAGCTCATCGCATCTTATGAACAGGTGACATACCCCATCACTCTTGTCTGCGCGGGCAATCGCCGCAAGGAACAAAATGTGGTCCGCAAGTCAAAAGGTTTCTCCTGGGGCTCGGCCGGTCTCTCAACAGCTCTGTGGACTGGTGTTGCCCTTTGCGATTTGATAGCCAAGGCAAGACCGAGGAGAGGTGCGAGATATGTATGTTTCGAAGGAGCTGATAAACTGCCAAACGGCCACTATGGGACGTCTGTTAAGCTCAATTGGTGCCTAGATCCAAACAGAGGTATTATGGTCTCTCATAAAATGAACGGTTGTGTTCTGCACCCTGATCACGGCAAGCCTGTTCGAGTCGTTATCCCTGGACAAATCGGAGGCCGCAGTGTCAAATGGTTGAAGAGGATAACAGTTACCGAGAAACCAAGCGACAACTGGTATCACATCTATGATAATAGAGTTCTGCCAACTATGGTGACACCCGAGGCAAGTGCCGACCTGCCGGATACGTGGAAAGATGAGCGGTATGCCATATATGACCTTAACACCAATAGTGTCATCTGTTACCCGGCTCACAATGAAAAACTCTTACTAAATGGCGACTTGAGCACGTATAAAGTCCGGGGATACGCATATGGTGGTGGAGGTAAACGGATTACTCGGATCGAGGTTACTTTGGACAAGGGCAAGACTTGGAGATTGGCCAATATTGATTACCCCGAGGACCGATATCGCCTTGCTCCCGACGGAGAAAGACTATATGGCGGGAGAGTTGACATGTGGTGGCGGGAGACATCGTTTTGTTGGTGTTTCTGGGAGCTCGACATTGACATCGAAGATCTCAAAACAGTGACGGATATCATGGTCAGAGCAATGGACGAAAGCCTCACGGTACAGCCCAGGGACATGTATTGGAGTGTTTTGGGTATGATGAACAACCCTTGGTTCAGGGTTGTTGTCCATAATATCGGCCACGCATTGCAGTTTGAGCACCCTACGCAACCAGCTCTGATTCCCGGTGGGTGGATGGAGAGGATCAAGAAGGCAGGAGGCAATCTCACAAATGGCTCGTGGGGTGAAAAGTTGGCTGGCCCATCTGAAGATGTAACGAAACAAGAACCAGAAAAAGATGTATGCATGACTAACCCCAGAGCTAGCCGTCTGGTTACCATGTGTGAAATGAAATCCCACAGTGGTGAACATGAACCTTGGTTCATTGTTAATGGACAGGTATACGACGGGACACCATTTTTGGAGGGTCATCCCGGTGGCTCTGCATCAATATTCGGAGCTGCTGGACAAGATGTTACGGAGGAATTTGTCACAATTCGTAAGAATAGCCTCCCAATCAAGGCGTGCTCCATCCTGCTCTGCTGTTGGTATGCTGTCTATGCTAACTATGGCTCAACTCAGACAGTGAAAACGCCAAAGCCATGATGCCTGCGCATCATATTGGAAAACTCGACGAATATGCACTAGCGCAACTGTCCGGCGAGACTAATGAATGCGATCCCAGTAGACCCGTGTTTCTTGACAGCAAAGTCTGGACAAAAGCAACCCTGCAGGAAAAGATCAGCGTTTCTTCAGACTCCAAGATATTCAGATTCAAACTAGATCACGCCGAGCAAGAAGTCGGTTTGCCTGTTGGGCAGCACCTGGTGATGAGGCTGCGCGATCCGGTAACTCGAGAGTCAATCATCCGGGCTTATACTCCAATTTCTGAAGGTACAGACCGAGGATGGCTTGATGTTTTGATCAAAATTTACCACGACACTCCTGAACGAAGAGGTGGCAAAATGACACAGGCACTTGATTCTATTCCAGTGGGACACTTTGTTGACTTCAAGGGACCAGTGGGAAAATTTGAGTACCTTGGAAAGGGCCTCTGTTCTATATCTGGGAAGTCTCGCCATGTATCCAGGTTTAACATGATATGTGGCGGGTCGGGCATCACGCCGATATTTCAGGTATTTCGAGCCATGGTAAAGGGTGCCGATGACCCCACTGGGTGCATTATTTTGGACGGAAATCGTGGGGAGGAAGACATCTTGTGTAGACGGGAGCTCGACCAAATGGCATCGACCGCGAAGCATAGGTGTAGCCTGCTCCATTGTCTCAGTCGTCCGTCTTCTACATGGAAAGGACGGACTGGCCGAATTGACAAGGACCTGATTTCAACCGAAATTGGACCGCCAAGGTTAAACAAAGATGACATAGTTCTGGTCTGTGGCCCGGAACAAATGGAGAAGGGTGTCTGCGAAACACTGAGGGTTTTGGGGTGGCCGGATGAGAACATTGTGGTATTCTGAGTAAAGTAATCCTAGGCGAAAGGACCACCGTCTTTTCAAGCACTTTTCTTCCTAGATACTAATAGGTACATAAGTACCTAGTACGTAGGTAGGTACCTACCTAGGTAGGTATGTAGTCATATGCTTTTTAGCACGTGTCCTGACCCTGTGATCTTTGTGAAGAGAAGAAGAAGAAGAAGAAGAAGTATTTTTATATGTAGAATAACCAAATTTTCATAACTAGATCTGTAAGAGTTAACGTAACCTATTCCATCTTTTTGCGGAGGATGGTGGCCATTAAGTCCCTAGCAACTGCGAGGCATCGTGTTACCGGGCCAGGCCTTTCCAAAGTTCGCGAAGAGCCTCTCTCCATACTTTTTCACCAAGTTTTTATTCTCTTCTCGTGACTCTGAGGCGAATTCAAGGAGTCAGTCAAATACTTTACAGCAAAATATGGAACATTGCCGCCTAACAGAATGTAACGTCTTGCCCGTCCTTTCTAGTTGAGCTCTGTTATGAATTCCAGCCACATAGGCCGCAGATAAACCACTGGTACTTAGTACATGCAATATTCTCAATGGAGAAAGGGGGCTGGTCTGGACACTTGTCCGAAGAGCATGACGAGTTCTTCCACAGGCGTTGACTATTCAAGCAAGGAGAGCCGGATATTAGGTTCAGCTGCTGACATCTAGATTCTCTGTGACGAGACATTCACATCGTACAATTAAAATATATCATGGCCAGTCTTGTGCGAACCGGGTTGAGTACAATCGCAAGAAGGTTCGAATGCCGAGTTGGTTAACGCAGGACGCCGAAACGACGAGCGCCCAGCGTCTTCTCGAATGGATAGCACAGCATACGCATGTGGAACTTATCACACTACTCTGCAGTCGTGACTGTAAGGTCTGGAAGGTGCCTCTCCGTGGTGGCTGTTATTTGTAGTATGGATTCAATACCTGCGTGTGGCATTGTCGAATGCACGCATGCTAACCAGGGCCAATCTCGGCCCATCCATCCAGCCCACCCATGTAAGACACATCACCATGAGGTTATCCGTCCTGCCTCACGCTTTTCATCGTGCCAATCTTCGTTCTTGCTTGGCCTCCGCAAGGTACAGGCTGAGCTGGTATAACAGTCTCAAAGGCCACTGGGCTAAATTCTTCCGGCCCCATTGGGAGCTGATCAACGTCAATTTCCATATTCAGCAGACTCCTGATCACAACACGGCACCCGGCCTTGCTCATTACTTCGTTAGACTCTTTACACATGGCCGATGCCACACATTCAACACAGCCACGCTGGCATAGGCAAGCTTCAACGCGCCGCAGCGCCATGTTCAATAAATGATCTATGTGATCAAATGCCTTCGTGCTGATGCCCGATCCGCTAGCACCACCTTTTGCGTCATAAAATGTGAGTCTTGCAGGCCGCTTTCTTTGCGATTCCTTCTTGGAGAACTCCTTCAGCGCCACTTTACACTCAGTTCTGACGTCTTCTGGCATGCTAATGACAAATGTTGGAAGTAAGCTCATGACTGCATGTTCTGCGGCATGGATCGCTGCCGCCGAATTCAGGCGTCGGTCTTGAAGGATGTCCAGTGCTGTTTTTGGAACATCTAACCACATGCCCTTGCTGTACCGGATAACTGGCGGGTTGTCGACTTGAACGGCATCCAGAACTCGCCCCTTCCTGTCCACTTTGAAATACCCAAACACATTTTGCTGGATCCTAACTATTCCATAGTAAGCCTGGGATAAGGAGCATGAGATCTTCCGAATCGCCTCTGTCTCTGTTGGATCAATATCTGTGAAGTCTCGCTGGGTAGTTGTCCAGTCCACCTTCACCTTTTCTACCTTGGCCATTTTTCTGTCAGGGAGAAAGTCTCGCACAAGGTACGTATTTCCTTGGTGAAGGAATATGGCTCCATCGTATATGGTAAATGTAGCTCTTGACGCTTCTAGCTCCTCTAATACGGTATTTCGGCCATTTGTGATGTCGATAATGGCAAAATGCTCGTCTTCTGTGTCCCGTATTGCGACATGGCGAGATGGTTGAGGTCGAAATCGATCATGGCAATGATAATAACCCATCTCATCCTGAATTAAACGGGTCTTGCAAACGTCTGATATATCAGCTCCAAAATATTGAGCATCTTGGTCGGGTCTAATTGGCAATTCGTACGCCGCACATTGGATATGCCCTTCCCGAACTAGCATGTTGCTAAGATCGACTTGAAGTTCGCAGTTAGGTTTAGTAAACAGCTCGTCTGGATTTTGCATGTAATGTTGGTCTGTCGGGTATCCATCCCCAACAAGAATAGACAAGGAGTCCTTGTTACGCCGCCCCGCGCGACCACTCTGTTGACGCAAATTTGCAATTGTATAAGGAAACCCCCAACTCATGACAGAGTCAAGAGTACCAATGTCAATGCCCAATTCCAGCGCTGTAGTCGAGACAATTCCTAGCAATTTCCCCTCAAACATTTCAGATTCGATACGGCGGCGATCTGCGGCGGTATAACCACCTCGGTAGCCCATAACTAGATTTATACACTCTGGTCGACCGAGAGACTCCAGTTCTTGCTTGATTGCATTAACCAAGATCTCACACTGGGCTCGAACCCGACAAAACGCTATGATTCGGACGCCTCTCAACAGGAGGGCGCAGAAAAGTCTGGCACATTCAAGCTTCGCATTCCCACGCCCGCTCGCAGGGTCACCTGGATCCTTGTATGGTGTATTCCAGCACAAGAACTCCTTACGTCCCGAAGGGGATCCGTCGTAGTCAATCAACGCCACATTTTTAATCCCGAATATCGTTTCGAAGTGCTCCTTTGGGTTGGCAACAGTTGCAGAACAAGAGATGAAGCGGACTCGCCGGTTCCCCACCGCAGCGCAAATGCGTCTTAGTCTTCTCATGATGAAAGCAACATGTGAACCGAGCTGCCCGTTGTAGTAGTGAAGTTCGTCAACTGGATACAATGTCAAATTAGTGAGTGATAATGCAGACGGATAGGCAGGCATCTACAGACCTACTACGTATTTCAAATGTTTCAGGAAACTTCTCCAACGTTCTTCCTGTGGCAATATTGTGACATGAAGCATGTCAGGGTTCGTGAATATAATCCTGGCTTCTTCACGAATTGTGGTCCGTTCACTCATTGGCGTATCACCGTCGAAGGTTTCAACGACTGTGGCTTCAAGGCCAGGCATATAGACCATCAATTCTTTCAAACTCCGCTTCTGGTCCTGCGCTAATGCCTTTGTCGGGAAAATGTACATGGCTCTGGAATTGTAGTCTTTTTCAAGCGCGTATAGAACCGGGAGCTGGTATATCAAAGACTTGCCCGAGCTGGTCGACGTTGCCACGACGACACTTTTGCCTTCGTGGAGGTGGTTTAGGGCCTCTGCTTGATGAGCATAGAAGCGGGTGATACCTTTGGCATTATACAGCGCGTTGACAAGATCTTGAGTCAACAAAAAACCAAGATCACCGTAAATAGCCTCTTGAGACTCGAAAACCCTATGGCCGTCCGGTACGATTTGCCCTGTATACCAGGAGCTTTCTTTTAGCTCTTGCACAATCTCTGGTATCGATTTACGCTCCTTCGGGATATTCTCTGGTATGATATTTGGTCTTAACTCTGCTGCGACTTCGTTCATTGGAGATGGTTTCGGGATGAATGCCTGCGCCTGCTCCCTGAGGGTTACATCAGGATCCAGTTCATCTTGCACACACTTGTTCAGAAATATATTTATAGCATTTTTGAACTTCTGGTTTCTCCTCTCAATTAGCTGGGTCATTTGTTTCTGCCCATATATTGGCATCTTCAGCTGCTCGTCGCGAAGTTTGCGGTTTGGCCGCACAGGCTCTCCTGTCTTCTTGTCTTTCACCTGGCGTTTTAGGTCTCCGTCGACGAACTCAAAGAATAGCACCTCTCGGCTACCATTGCCTGTTTTACTGCGGCTGTGATCATCCAGGCTCTCGCTTCCCGTCCATCCGCCTACGGATGCATCATGCGCGGGTGCCTGCGAGCGAGCGGATCCCGAGGGCTTAAACGTGTCATCTCTTTCTGAGCCCTTAATATCGAGCTGTAACATGAGCTCATCCACGTACGCAAAATTGATACCCTCGGGTCGCAAGGCGACTAATAATGCCACCTCTTCCTCCATTAGCGGTCGCTTAATGTGAGTTTCGACTGTCGGCTTTATGTTCTCAAACGTCGTTGCAAGATGTTTCCGGCTGCAACAAAATGTAAAGACTAGATTCAAAGCCTTGTGAGTCTTTTCCAACGCTTTGAACGTATCAGGCCATTCTATGACACAGCCCGTACACAGAGACGACTCCTTCTTCACAGTCGGTTTAAACCTTCCTCCTGATTCGACCTGGCTTTTTTCGTGATCGGCGAATTTTCCAAGTACATCTTTTCCATGTTGTACCAAGCAGGGGCTCTGTTGCTCATTGAAGGAGTGTTTGCGCTTCTTATTAGGATGGCTATCATGAGCATCAGCCTGCTGATCATTGAGATCAGAATCAGGCTTCATCACAAATCAGCGACCAGAAAAATATTACTAGAAAGTTTGTTACTCGTACAGTCGTGCAGAGCAATTTTGCCAAATGTGCAGACCGTACCTGCATCCAAAGCTGCTTAAACCCAGTTCGCCTTGGAGCGTGAGTGGGCTTTCGTGGTGGCAACGCGTAGTCACGTGCGTGGTGCCACGGACGGTGCGCGGGTAACCACCTACCTACTTAAGTAGGTAGGTGGACATTTATGGATTCTCTAAACAATGTTGTCTACATTTGTCAGTTTCTTTGTATTGCGTCTCTGTATCCTTTAATGCCTGGTTATTTGAGTAAACGCCTTCTGAAGCCTCTAAATCACCCTTTTCTTTTATTGATAACCTTCATACTCATACATGTTGTCGTCAAGCCCCCTTCGTAAACAGCCCTCTGTTGCAACGGTACCTTGTGCTACAAATCCGTCAGCAGATCACTCATTAATTTAGTGCGCGGTCGGATTGAACCCCAAGTTAATTGACACACCAGAAACATGCGACTAGTTCCCCCGTAGTTCCCTTTGTATAGCACCAACTTCATTCAGAAAAAGTTTTGAATTGGCTGCAGACATCTGTAACTCAATCAGTACGTTCTGCACCAACCGAAAAGTGTATAACTGCGAAGATCTTACTCTGATTGTGATGCTCACAGGTTTCGTTTCTGCTCCTTCGAAAGCGGTGAACAGGATACCGACAGATTTCAGAGAAGCTTTCTCTTGAAATTCCATGGCGGGGAGAATTGCTGTGTTTAGTATGACTCGGTGGGTTTGGTCTTGACGCAAGATGAGACGAGCAACTTTGGGACCCGCAGACTCGCCCTCAGCAGAGTCGTCATTTGTTTCTAGACATGACGCGTCGAAGCTGCCTGGAATCACAGCGCCATCGTCGTCAAACTCAACGCTTGCATGAGGGACATTGATTTTCAACATGCCAGCTCCCCGCTCTTTCCAGCCTTCTTTCTTGTCCAGACAAAACATCTTTGCCCGTACAGACAGAACCGTAACCTCACCAGCCTCGCCATCATCAACCGCAACTGTTGTGGTAGTCCGGTCAGTGCCAAGTCAATACAATAGCAAACCAAGACCAAGAAAGGTCAACGTACTCTTGTGGAGCTTAGGTCGTTTCTTCTCATCTGCATCTTTCTCCGGCGATGCGCCTCGTTCTTGATCATCGGGTTGACTCTCTTCATCCCCTTCCTCATTATCGTTATCATCGTCATCATCAGCATCGCTTTCCGGTGCTCCAAAGGGCTTTGCTGCTTTCTCGCTCTGGAGGGGCTTTGTACCAGCAGCGCCGAAACTGCCCAATGGTTTAATTCCTGACAGCCCGGAGCCGAATCTACTATTTCCAAGTCCATTAGTTCCTGAGCCGAGTCCTGCAAAGGGCGAAAGGCCTGAATTTGCAGCGAACGACAGCTTCGGGACATGTCCGGCTTGCCCTTTGTTTGCTTCCGCCCCGCTTGTTTCTGAGTTTGATACAGGCTTCACCGACGCAAAGGACGATAGAGCTGGCTTAGTTGAAGCGAACCCGCCGCCTTGGGATGATCCCAAAGTTGCAAAGCCCGAAGAGCTTGATGCCAGTTTGCCGAACGCCGACTCCGCAAATGTACTGCTAGAGCTTTCCTTCGTCGGTTGACTAGGCATTTTGCTATGATTTTGAGTTGATTGATCTACTTCTTCTGTGCCTGGTGGAGGATGCTGCGATAAGTCAAATTGACCTTACGTCAGTCGAAGTCATTTGAGTGGGTGAACGTTTTCTCTTTGGCTGTAACAGTAAGGTTGGACGTACCGACACTGTACCAACAGGCTCTTCATCACGATGCCTCTTCTTTTCCGGCTCAAGCCGCACGGCTCTGTCTTTAGCAGAGTCGGTAGATGTGACACTCGTAGCATCGTTGTCTTGCGAATCTTCTTCCCCATCTAGCTGGTCATGGGCACGCTTCTTCTTAGGCGAGGAGACCTGCTCCTTCAGCTCATCGCTCTTCTCATCCGATATGCCAACAGAAGGCGTTTCCGGGCGGTTTTCGTCGGTATCAGTTATTTTGCCAGGTTGGTCAGAGATGGATGACTGCTTAAGCTCCCGTCTAGTAGCGCGCGTCTCAGCATCTTCGGTAGTTTCGACATGCGTCGGTTCATTCTTGGGGCTGAATCCTGCTCCTTGTACATCGTCGGCCATGACGGGTAGGTGCGTAGTCGCAACGGTGTTCTAAAAGTGATAGTTGACGCGGCGAGTAATGCGCAAACTGCGCAGTTTCATTAAGCTAGGCGCAGAGACCCCGATAAGAACAACTTGGTAGATTGAGAAAAAGTCGTCACGAGATCAGTGGCCGTAGTTTTACCGTATAAAGGGAGCAAAATAGCTATTATAGTGCCCCCTGAAGAAAAATCGGTAGATTATCTGCGTCAAGCAGTCTGTTTGCTGTCAGGATCTTTGGTTGCGTAGAGACAGATCAGGCCCCAACAGGACAGGAGAAAAGAGGCGAGGGCTGCCTAAATGGTGTCAGGGGTCCGTCGTTCCTTGAAGTCAGTGGGAGTGCTCAATCGGTCGGTCGGTGCTGGTGCATTTAATTAGACGACGGCAGGTTGCGGTCTGCACACATATGAGCATGGAGTTCTTTGTCGTCACCACCACGCTCACGCGCGGGACATTTGGATGTGGGAGGCTGCTGCTTGCTGGTCCAATCACTGTGACCTCTCGTCCTAGCGTGCTAGAAAAGCCATATGGCCCACTTTCACCGCCCACCCAATATGTACTATTTCAGGTGAGGGGTCAAATGGTCACCAGGGCCAAGTGGGCTGGCGTTGGGTTTGGTGCTAGTTATTATGATGAAAAGAAACTGCCATTACAAGACATGTGGTCCTTCCAGTGATTTTAGAGCATCAGGCATCCGACTTTCATAACATGATGGCGCTTCAATATTGTCACCTGGTTAGCGTTGTGCATCATTCATAGATTACCTGGCGATGCTGGCACAGATTTGGGCACAAGCTCTTGAATACCAAGCTCTGAGTGCGCCTGGCTTGATGTCGCCACCAGTTTACTTTGATTAGCGGACATACAAGGCAATGTCATAAAATGAGACCATGCAGCATTAACCGTTTGAAGTCTGTGAATATCCAGACTTCTAAGAAACAACCAATAGAGTACAAAAAAGTAAAGCATTGAGCAAAACTCCCCGAAACAGTCTGTAGCTCTTCGGTCGGGCAGCACTACATCCAACACATTGAACTGTCACCAGCTCCTAGGGATCGTTCCTGGTCACCATAGCGGTATGACTCAGCTAATAAAGCACAAGCATCCGAGACCTACATAGAAGATAAACAGCGGGTATACCGCAATGGCAACTCGGTTTTTGACGACGCCGCTGCCTCCTAAAATGCTCACGCCAGCTGCAAGTGACCATGCAACCAGAACAATGTACACGGGTATCCGTGGAATCCAGTGCAATCCCAACGCTGAAAGCAGCCCAGCAATGACAAGAGGGAACAAGGTGTACCCAATGATGCAGACGCTCTGAGCAAAGGAGCTGAATAATAGTTAGTATACAGCAATCTCTTGGCTTGGTCAGTGAAGGGAAAGGAAGTATGCTCATAAACGTACATGTTGCCGCCTAACAATTTGATCTGCAGAGTGACCACAGCTTCGCCGAGCCAGATCATGGCGAAGACTCCGCTAAAGACAGTATCTTTTTGCTCGGCTCGGGCCGCGATGCTGAGCAATAGACTCAAAAGCAAGCAAAAGATGAGCGGGCCCCAAAGATCCCAGTCACGAAGTCCCGGGCTCATGTTACTTTGCAAAAGCGCTTCAGCATCCATCATACGACTGGCAAGGCCTGTGAGTTCTTCTCTTGTCCCCGTAATACCTGCCCCGCGGATATTAGAGTAGGCGCCTCGTAAACCGCCTTCAGAATCAAACATTGTACCGCCCAGAAGATATCGAGGGTAAAGGACCTCTCTCAACTTGGCCCACACCGCGAGCAAGTCCCGACGTACTGTTTCCCATACGGTCTCGTCTATAGTGTTCTGTGGCGCTCGTCTGTCTTCGCCTGGAATCGAGGACGTGAGATAGGTTTCATTGAGAGGACGTGATGAGGTGGAGCCGATGTTTCCTGAGAGAGGCTGCCGCGCAGACCGGTTTTCGAGAGGGTCGTCAAAGTCATTCAAATCAGCTTCTGTTGTTAGTAACGTGTCGACTGTCGGAATTGGAGAATCGGTAGGTGGTATAGTTTGATTCTGCCAACGGCCAAGGGGGAGGCTCGGTATCACCACAAGTACATACCATCATCTGGGTCAATTAAATCATCATCCTCCAGGGAGGGATGGCTGTAGTTTCCTCTTGCGCTTGCGGAAGTCATGTTGCGCGTCCGTCGGTGCTGAAGATGGCGCAGGTAACTCAGTTGGATTCCCGTGCCCCTGACGGCGAGTGTCCACAGGGCAGCGTAATACAGCAGACAAAACGGTGATTATTGACAGAATATGTCTTATTACGAGGTTTCCCCGAGTTGTGTGATGCGAGATCACTGTGATCCCTTGATGCTCAAGATTGGTATGGAGGGCAGGATGTGGCCAGCTTCGCACTTAGGCACTTGACAATTTGCTGACGTTGCTCAAAGCTTCCAAAATTGCTTGTCCCCCAGCCAATCAGACGTAACGCTGATCTGGGCCTGCCCAGCAAGTACTACTTACTACTAGGTACCTAAGTCAGTGGTGCATGCTCCTGGTATCACGAGACAGGTCCTGAATTATCACGGGCTGTTGAAAGTCTGGATAAATGAAAAATGAATAAAGCTATTATGTCATATTTTATAGGAACTAGATGCCTACTAGGTACCTAGGTACTACTAGAAGTTGCAGTCACCAAGAGCAGGCATCGCGCGCGTACCTACCTACCTAGGTACCTAGTACTCCGTGTCGTACTCCCTGGACACTTGCGCAACGACCTGACAGTGGATCGACTCTCAAGCACTTGCACCAGACATGTCAAGTGTGTGATTCAACGGCTGACATTGAATGCTGAGAGAAGCCCAGGATCTCGCGCAAGTGTACGAGAAGCGTGCTCCAGCGAGGTCAACGAGTTCGATTATCGCTAAGGCTGGTTATATCTCAACATTGAACAACGAGGCTGTCGTATCCAAGCATCGATTCGTTACCTAGGACGTGAACCAATATCAATATCCATCGCACCGCATATCCTCGACGAAATATACACAACTCTGGCATCTCAACTTTGCGGGTCCTCCTGGCCCCCTTTCTGAAACTCCTTGGTAAATCCCTGAAATGAGGCTGCCTGCCCAACGTTACTCTGTGTCATAGGAAGTTGCTCTCCCAACGAAAGTTGTTCGTGACACAGCATTCACAGTAATACGTTCTTCGCAGCTGATTATCAGCGCCTCATGGCGGCAACCGATGGCTCAGTCTTTGAGCTACCAAAATTACGCGTCTCTATTGGATTCGAGGTGACACCATGTCCAATTCAAGCCACCTGACCCTCGGGGTCTTCTCCCTTCAGTTCATCACTAATGGCATCAAAAGAACGACACGCGGTTTCTTGGCCACGACGACAATGTGGCAGGTATTATGAGCCACAATAAGCGCCATTCATTTTTTTTTATTTTAGTTCTAACATTTTACATACTTCCAGAATTCTTCGATATCAAGTTTTGTCCCTATCAGCCTTTGGACTGTGACCCAGTATTTGCCGCTGTGAGCAAGAAACATGTGAGAACATCCCTTCAGAGTATTCATTCATCTTCACTTACTTTGTTAATTTCTTAAAATGGAAATCAAACAAGCCTCTGTCATATTTATTTGCTAACACCCTGCCAAGATTGTTGTCTGCAAGCTTTCACCAAGTACAGGTGAATCCAACCCTTGCGACATCATCAACATTATTCGAGATGACGATGTGCGTAACCACTTCAGCTTGAACGGGAAAATGAATGATTTCTTGGCATCGGCTTAAATTCTGACAGTTCGAGTTATTTCTTCATTAGGATGAGGCATCTGGCTGTTGTTGTACGTGGACAAAGGATCCCGTGTCAGGTGCTCCATACATCTGCGTAGGCGGCGTCGATGCCAAGGTCAAAATATACGACGTCTCAGATGGGAGCCTAGTAGAGGTAATACAAATGCCATTTTCAATAAATTCGAAGGAACTGGAATCTAACTCACTTGTTACAGTGTTTCGTTGGCCATGGAGGGGTGAGCAGCTCGTTCCCTTACCGACTCACCATCAATTGTAATCGTCCATATGCTCACATTACTTCAGGACGTAAACGATTTAGCTACATCACCGATTGAACCGTCTATTATTGCTTCAGCTTCAGACGATACCAGCGTTCGAATATGGAGCCTTGACCCTATCCACAAGGAGCAACCTTGTCTTTGCATCCTCGCTGGCGAGGGTCACTCTTGGAACTTGCTTTCCCTTGTGAGGACCTCTTTTTCAGGCACCACGACCTTAGCAAGCAGACACTGATAGTTCAAGGCATTTCATGACACAGGGAGATATATTTTATCTGCTGGACATGATCAAATAATTAATCTAGTTTGTCTAGTTCCCTGGACTCGGACCACGATCTCCGTACTGACACCACACACTCTCAGTGGACCATTCCAGATCTTCCAACGAACGCCATCACCACCCCTCTTCAAGTTCATTATCCGCACTTTTCTACATCTGCTGTTCACAGCGGAATCGTCGATTGGTGCGTAACCAGATAAACTTGCAAGCGTCTCAAATATGTTTGCTATCACACGTAACTAATCCTGCCATAGCGTCGCATTCTATGGAGACTGTGTTCTCTCCCGTGCTTGTCACGATAACGTTATTGTTCTTTGGAGGATCGAAGGATTTTCGTCAGAGGGACCGCCGCCACCGCAAAGCGCTGCTCCAACACCGCAAAACGTCGTCCCAACCAGCTACGAAGACCCAGATCGCCTTACGAGATCCGCATTTGTCCCAGCTACATCACCGCAATGCCCTTCACAGTATACACGCTTGCTTGAATTCCACACCCCAAACTGCGGTCCCCAATTCTTCATGAGATTCAAGCTCTTCCATGTCCCAGACCAAAATCCCGTACTTGCATTTTGCAATGCAGCAGGGAACATTTTCTTCTGGGATTTTCGGAGACTTACCGTGTATCATGAGGTCATGGCAGGCTTGCAAGGCAAGTCGAAAGCGGCGGTAACTCCGAGCTGGCTCAAACCGTTCACCCCTCGACAAAGAGCGGACGCTATGGGCAGATTCAAAGGAGTTGGTAGTGACAGGGACTCGCTAGCATCGGGCCAAACGGGACAAACGGAAGCTAGTGAATACAGCCCAGAGACTCTAGAATCATGGGCATCTAGATATAGCACTGAAGATCCCCATGAGCCGCTCCGAGCCCATAAGACAGAGTCTTCCTCCACAAACTTTGTCGGGAGGCAAGCTGCATGGAGCCCTGGGGGAGAATGGTGTGTAGTAGTCGGAAGCTCGAACACCATGTTGATCTTGCAAAGATGGGCTAAAGGAGCGCCCTGTAGCCGGAGTACAGGTTGACAGCCAGCTGCAACTGCATATTGTCGAATTATATAGAATTTTATGTGCTTCTGATCGGCAGTGACGCATACAACAAACGTTGTTGCGATTCTTTCTTTAAGTTTGAGCATTGACCCATGAGGTCCATCAATGGTCTGGCAGTATTTCCACCATTGTCGATAATTCTTTGCAGCATGACACTGGCAATTTCTTGCTCCGACTTTATGGCTGCTGAGGTTTCATTCGTGATCGCTTGCTGACTGCCATAGCCTAGGGTTAAAAGCTCAGCAATGAGAAGTGATACTGTTGCCCGTAATTGAAGGAAGTGGTGATTTTTGGAGTAAGGCAACTCGTTGATTAGCGAGTCCATCCTCTTAGAAATATCCTTCAAAGCCTCATGCGCGTGTAACTGGGTACGTTCCTTCTGAATTCGGAAATTTACTTCCGAACCCGGTTGTTCGACGTTTATGGCCATCCCTGACTGGTCATTTTGGTAGACATCCTCCGAGTACCTATCTGATATTTGCGAAGGTGTCTCTTCCGGGTCCAATTCCAGAGCAGTGGTGGGTGAATCTTCTGAGGTATACATGGCATGGCAGCTGTATACTTCACATGTCAGCATTGCAAGCTGGAAATGTAGTGCTGAGGTTTTTTTAGGAAACTTGTGATCATATGGATATTTCTGGATGAGCGCCCCAAGGTAAGCCTTCAGTTTTTTGAGATTTTCCAAAGAGTGCCGTCTCCTTGGAATGCGAATGCGTGTGTAACTTTTTGATCCGGAGAGCATGCCGTCGGTATACTCATGGCTTTCAATGTCAACATGTTGTAGACCCCGGTGCAACAAAGTAACATCCTCGCCTCCTCTCATGATTATTTCGGCACCCATTGCCCAGATATTATGTTGACGAACATCAATGGGTCTGCTGCCAGGCCGAAGTTGCAGCATGATGCCAAATAATCTTGCTGCTTTTGTTATCTCCCCCTGGTCAAGAAGTTGGTGGGTAGATCGTAGCAGAGAATCTAACCGACTTGGTGGATGTGCCAAAGTCAGCCGCTTCTGGTTGCGTTTATCCTTTGCACTTCGGACCACGCCCTCGGACCCTTCTGCCGTTGGCTGCGAGGTTTCAGATACATCCAACTCGTCCGCGTCATCCTCATCTTCTTCCTCTTCCTCTGACACGGTCACTTCAGGCGCCTTACGGTTGATCCCGCGGTGGGGAAAGCACTCAACCCCTCGTGTTGGATCCTCATCGGTGTCTTTGAGACCAGCTAGAGATAGCTGACGCCTCTCGCTGGGTGAACGGCTAAAAGGGTTGATGGAGTTTGGCAAGTTCGGTGACAGTGGGCTACCCTGTGCCCTGTCACTGTAAGAATATGTCCGTTTCCGCTTGGCCGTCTCTTTCGGCGAAGGTAATGGGTATGATGTGTTCCTTTGCATTTTTCAATTATCTGGGTCGCAACCGAAGGGGAAAGCGGGAGAGGAGGGGATTGCTCAAAATGTTTTTATGCGTAGGAAAACGCTCGTTTGACATGGTGTGCAGCAACTAGACCCACCTTCATTGAACGATGTTATGATGCCGACGAGGGATGTACATACTTTGCTGCATCGGCCACGAGTTTGTCCAATAGTACATTGAATAAAGCTTAGTGACACCCAGTATCTCAGCAAATCAATAACAGACCCCATACAACACAAAATTCTCGGTTATACGTCTATTCAAGGCATTCCGTTACGGTCAAAATTAAAACTTTGAAATGATTCCAAAAGACGATGGGTCGTCTTTCATCGATGAAAGCTTTCGAAGAATATAGTGAGATGATCTACTTTACATCTACACAACGAGACCGCGTTTCTTACATAGTCTTCCTGTCGAAGTATTCCCATTGGCCATCAACAGGCTTTTCCCCCAAATCCTCCCAACTAGTTGTATGATTAGCGAAACACGCTCACAAAACGGGCATTGACTAAGCTCTGAAAACACTCACATTCTGGCCTTCTCCATGGTGTCAATGATGCGTAGCTCGCCCTCTGCGACCTGGATGACCTCTTCGATAAGGCCGGCGCCAATCTTATGCTCCAGCTCCTGCACCCTACCAGCTGTTAGTTCATGGGTACCATGGGATGTCGCCGACGGGCAATAGCATACTGTTCTGCGGTCAACTGGGGTTCATCTTCCCATTCAATTTTCTCGTGGTCCTGTAACGGCTTCCGCTCAGCCCAGATAACCTGGTCCTGCCTTTCCGCTGGAGTTCGAATGCCCTCGAGCTCACCACCTTCATCGGCTTCTCCATCCCATTCTTCGTAACGTACATCACCAGCTTCATGCTTCGCACCGATTACAAACACACGGTCCCCGAGTTTCACAGTTCTGGCCTCGCTACCGTCAACTCGACCGCTGGCAACTCGGAATTGCTCGGGGTTTTTGCTGATTAACTCTTTGGCCCTGACTGCCCACTCGTTGTAGCCAGGAGGGACAATCTTTTCCACAAGACCCATTCGGTATTTTGTAACAGCCTCCACAGACTGGCGGTAAAGTGAACTCTCAGGTATGGATTGGAGTTTGTTGAGGGTCGTCCCGTAAAGATAGAGGAGCGTCGATCGAGGAGTGGAATGAGTCCATAGACCGGCCAGGCCGGTAGGAGTGCCTGGCTCCAGGTAGCGCGCAAGCACACGTATCGTCGGCCGCATGCTGGCGAGTTCCAATGACTCTGTGCCGCAACGAGCTGATGGAAAGTCTGGGTTGAGTGAAACCGAGGCCAGAGTCATTTGTTGAACACGAACAAGCTCCAATCACAATCACGGATTTGTCATGACCATGTGAATGATCACGTGATCGGAGTTGAGCCTGTAGTGGGCCACACTTTGGCTTCCCTGGAAGTAGCTGGTAGACGATGCAGTTGCAATCGGAATAAATACACGCCCAAGGCAAATCTACGACGATTTAAACATAGATACATATGCAATTCGGTAGCGTTTGCCACCAGTACAAACCTGGTCACTCACTAGGCGATTCTCCAAGTGCCTTGCCGCCCCACGTGTTGACACGACAGTCTTCCATCTGCAACTCTTTGCCCGACATCCGTACTAGACAAAAGAGAGGACGAAATGAGAGAAGAGAAGGAAAAGATGCGGCTACTAACATAACTAAGTAGGGGGCACGAGTCGAACCAAACAAATCTAGGTGATAGTGCCGCCTATCACACAACCACTGTCGTCTACACAGGACAACCGCCTCAAATTGATTCTCGACGCATGCCATTAAATGCTGTGTTCATAGGGATGAAGTAACCGTATACGCTGTCTAGCATACGATTACGAGCCTTCTTCACGGCTCTTTCGGTAGCTAGCCTGTGTGATTTAGTGGTCAATATACAGACTTCAACATATCACGAGTGCATCTGAGCATGTTCGACTCACTTCTTGTTCTGTCTGTAGGCCATCAACAATGGGAGCGAGTTCACTGAGAACTTCGTATGCCTTCTTGTGGTACTCAATTTGGGCGGCAATCAGCTCGGACAGGTTGCGTAGTGGCTCCGGAGAGTTAAGGACCTGGATAGAAAATCAATACGTTGAGCATTTAATTTAATACCATTCTTTTCTCTCAGACTTACATTCTTCATGACACCGACAGCTTCTTCAGTCTGAGTCACAAATTCGTCCTCTGCTTTCTCAATCTCCTCTTGGGCCTCAGGGCTTAGTTCCAGCTCCTCATGTTGCTCAGGGCGAGAGCCACCATGTCCACCGAGTTTGAAAGTCGTTCCCTTGGCATGAGCCTTGACGGCATCAAGAGAAAGCCTTGATCGCTCAACATTTTTTCTGGCACGCGTGGCAAAGCTGAGATTAGTGTTCAAGGTGGTATTCCAACCAGCAAGAAAGCTGCTCTGGATTTGGGAGTCTTGCGCCAAACGGGCTTCACCAACTCTCTCCATTGTGATGGCATACTTCTCAAGTGCAGTGGCCAATTGATCCTCACCAGCTCCCGTATGATTCTGATGCAGCAGCTGACTGCTCGCCAAACTGGCGCGTGCGACAGCATGGCTAAAGGTCTTGGGCTGGGGCTTAGCACTCGGAGGAGCAATCAGGGCGGCCTGTGCTTCTGCGGTGGTAGTCGCGGAAGAAAGAAGAGAAACCTTCTCGCTGACGGTGCGGCCAAGGTCCTGGAATGTCTCCTTAATATTGGGCGGATAGTCGTAGGCTTCGTTTGAGTATTGCGAGCTTCGGCAGCAACAGTTAGAGGATGACGCGTGACACGAAGGATGCGGACAGGAGGGAGTGAATGCTCCAACTACTCACGTCACGGCAAGCATTTTTTGGTGCGCTTGCTTCAAGGCATCTACCTTCTTTTCGAGGTCTATATAGTCTGGTGGGAGCTGGGTCTACAGGAGAGGACACGAGGTTAGTGAAGCTGTGAGGACGGGTCCTTACGGTCGACTAAAAATTGGGATACCTTGTCCTCGGCCTGACCGAACTGTTCTTTGGTGAACTGAAAGGTGCGCGACGCAAAGGGCGTGATTTGCGCTCCAAAATCGCTGTGTGGCCGGGCTTGATTAGCTTGTCTGTCCCAACAATTGACCATGCGCGAAGAGCCAAGGGCCTGAAACTTACGAGAGGTTCTTGCCAAAGCTCTTGAAATCCATCTTGATAATTCTGAAAGGCAGCTTTAGGAACTTGTTTGGAAAGCGGGATAGAATGCAATCCAGCTGCGATGGTTGGAGGTTAGATGGAGATGGTTTTGAGAGGTGTCGAGTATGATGCTATTAGGAACGTCCTGTCCTCGTCACAAGCGAAATACTGAGGTGCATGTCCCTCCAGCAGAGACGAGGGAACGGGGCAGGCACGAATGACGGCAACAGGCTTTAGACAAGCAAAACGCGCTAACTTTTTGGCGTGGCTCCTTACGGAGTACTCTACAGACAGATGGGACCAGCCCAAAATACCTACCCTAGGTGCCTAGCACGCGGGTTGCAAAAAAGGCCGCACACCTGCCTAGGTAGGTAGCCAATGTGAGCATTAACCTGCAAGAGAGAGCCCCCACTTGGATACTGCCACGTGAGGCTTGGGAGATGAATGAATCCGGAGGAAGTAAAGGATCCATGCACTGCATTCGGATGTGTGCGGGAGCACCTGGTTGATATCTTGATTGTGCTTTCACGCTCTCTGCACTAGATATGGAACCTGTCTTAAGGACTCATATCGGGGCATGTCTCCGAACGGTTCGTATCAAAACCACACACTGTTATTTATACAGAAAATGGGGCCGATACACTAAACGCACCTCCGCACATTCAGAGGGATAGAATAAGCAGACCTTGATTGCTTATTAATAGTCTAGATTGTTCACTCGCTGTTGGGTAGCATCCACGCGTCATGTTTCCCCAACATGAGACTAATATGACTTATCTGTCCAACATAACTCTCTCTTCTCCCTTCGCCCTTCGCCCTTGGATACGATTACCCAGAGTATCCATGAGCAGGTAATTGAGCGCTCGTTACATAAAGGTTCCTTCTTACAGCCTTTACAACGGTAATAAAACAACAACGCCGTTTCCAGCCGCGAATGGTTCATCATGGCACCGACCCTTCTCTGGATTGGTCTGGGCAACATGGGCAGGGTGAGCTGAATCCTTTCGACTCCACGCTTACAGCTACAAGTCAGTTGATTTCTCCTAACATTGTCGGATAGGGCATGTGCAGAAACCTTGTCGAGAAGGGAGAGCTGAGTTCCCCGCTACTGCTTTACAACAGGTCAGCGGAAAAGGCCGTCGACGTAGCAGCAAAGCTACCTTCTGGAAGAACTGAAGTCGTTGCATCGCTAGAGAAAGCCGTTCTGAAAGCAGATATTATCTTTACCTGTGTGGCCAACGACGACGCAGTGCGGGATCTGTTCAAGGTCATGCTCCGGATGAATGTTCCTGGAAAGCTTTTCATTGACTGCTCCACCATCCATCCCGATACTACAGAAAGCATCGCAAAGGATGTTGCGGATGCTGGCGCAGAGTTTGTAGCTGCACCGGTATTTGGTGCGCCAGCCATGGCGGATGCAGGTCAGCTTATCGGGGTGCTCGCAGGGCCGAGAGCTAGTGTTGAGAAAGCAAAGCCTTGGTTTAACGGAGTCATGGCTCGAGCTGAGATTGACCTCGGCGACCAACCGTATAGCAAGGCCACAACTCTCAAGCTCTTGGGCAATACATTTGTGTTCAACATGGTTGAGCAACTCGCGGAGGCCCATGTTGTAGCAGAAAAATCTGGCCTCGGAACGGATGTTTTGCATCAATTCATTTCGCACATGTTTCCTGGCCCGTACACAGCCTACTCGACCCGGATGCTTGCGGGAGACTATCATAAGCGTAAGGAACCACTATGCGCCGTCGATGTGGCTCGTAAGGATGTGAGACATGCAAGAAGTCTAGCACAATCGGCGGGAACGGAAATAAAAACATTGGAAATTGCCGATGCGCATCTAGCCAAGGTCAAACAACATTGCGGCGAAGTGGGAGACATTGCTGGCATCTACGGAGCAGTTCGCGCAGAGGCAGGGTTAAAATTTGAGAACGATCCTTGATAGTTACTGGGTTCTCGGACTAAAACCCTCCCGCGTTACCATGCAATATGCATATGCAGTTCAACACTCATAGAACATTGCTAGGCATAAGAATTGACATTCGAGGATCAGGTAAAGGTGCCATACTATGTACAATTTTGTTCTTCTATGAGGAGCCAAAGAGCTGCTTGTCCATGCACTGAGTGGACCAACCCCCACACCCCCGGGGGGGGGGGGGGGGGGGGGGGGGGGGGGGGGGGGGAGGTCCGGATGCATGACTAAGCCTAATACATACATCCACCTCTCTGCTCGTCGCTCCACCACGATGGCATCCGCTCCCTAGACATGACGTTGGAATCTTTTTCCGAGACCAGCACTAACGTCACGACTCAACACAAATAGATGTCCTGTTCTCGTACACTGTCACAAGGTGTCCGACATCCTAGAACATGGCTCAAGGGTAATTACTTTCCGGAAAGGGCCATCTATTGCCAGCTCGTACTGTTTCTAATGCTCTGCTTCAGGTACGCCGTCTTCATCGGCCTCGTGATTATTGTGGCTCTCTGTGTCGCGTCGTGGTTTCTTGCTCCCAAGGGCCAGAATCAAGTGTATGTGCTTCTTTTCAGGTTCTTTTCAAGTTGTTATTAGACAAGTTGATGACTTTTTCTAACAATTGTCTGCAGCCTCTGGCGATCATCCCTTATTCTTTCTATTGTCAGCTGCTACCTTATGTGGGCGATCACGTTCCTAGCACAACTTTACCCCTTGATCGAGCCGAAGAGAAACGACTTGCGGGAGGAATTTCTAGGTCACTAGGAATTCACTGATAGATTCGTGTCAGAGCCTTGACTGGTTTTGTTGTGGGAACTGGGCAAGAATCAGTCCAACGTGGCTGTCATTGTACGATTACATTGCGGTCGATTTCGGCGTTTTTCGTTTTATTCTTTGGGATCAAGATGCAACCATCGCGGGGACCCGAGCGGTCTTTATTCTGTCTCCTGTGTATAGACACGGCTTATATAAATTAGGTAGCGTCAGTGGATATTTGGCAACGTCGGATGACCGCCGAACTTCACTACATCGATCGGCTCTTGTGAGGGATAATGCTTGAAGCCTTTGCCTGCTCATCATGGCAGCTGCTGTGAATTTCAGGCATAGCAAGGATGTGTCTTGAATGTGAACGAACACCATGACTTGATTACAATACCTACTCTCGTTCGCTCTACCGTCACGTCAACCTACAGCTAATCGGCCAGCCCAGTCTCTTGCCAACATCACCAAAGCCCAGAGAGCTTTCCCGTCCGCAGCGACACTACTTTCGCCGATGGAGTCTACATCCCCAAGGCCAGCCGCGGTCAATACCAGTCTTCCCACAGCCCATCTCGACGCTGCACCAGCTATTGCAAGAAGGCAAGCAGTGTAATATTTACAGTCTAATAAGATTCGGAGAGCCTCAACATTATTTGCAACTACAGCCCAGCCCAGTGATCTGGCTGCAGCTGGAACATCGTACTCCCATATGACCATCAAGATAGGAAATAGCTTCGTTGATGATGAGACTAGAAGCGCGGTTGATACCGAGTTGGGTCGTGCGTGTCGCGGCATACTCGCAAATACATTTAGAGGTGAAAATAGTGAGCAGGTAAGAAACCGGATGCTTAGATGAAAGGCCAGCGTCGATAGGGCACATAAGATCAGGAAGAAGAGATATTGTACCACAATAGGTTGTTGCGCGAGCCTGCCTAGATTACTCCCACCAGGAACTATAGTTGGCACTGTCTGTTTTTCAATGCGGGCCCACGTTAGGTAGACATCAAACAGCAGTAGAAGAACACCGAGCCGGATTATCGAAGGCTAGTTTGACAACGAGCGCATGTCGGTCAGCAGATGAACGTTTTCTCTTAACGAGGTTGCCAGCGTGCAGGGAGTGGACTGGGCTGCACCTAGGGGGTGTACGTACATCGAATCGATCGCCATCTCGCATCAAGGTGTTTTGGAGGAGGTGCCTATAGACCTGTTTGAGCGAGAGAAATCACCTCATAGTCAACCAAAGGCTCCCAGCAATCAGGAAATGAACTCTGGAGAACATACTTGTGGTTTGATCAAAACCAGGTCTATGAAGAGAACGACGAAGTCGTGCTCCACATACTTGTCACAAAATCGGCCGCAGTTGCGACAGACAGTCAATCGAATATTGTGCCCGCTGGACTTGTCACCAGCGCCAGAGTATTGAGTCCATAGCGTCTTGACGGGATGTCGACATTCGATGCAAATCGGCATTTGATCCACGCCTTTGGTTCTAGGCAACCGTGAGTGGTTCGCGCAGACAATCTCGTGGTGTGCTTGGATTGTCGTGATCAATCTGAGAACACACGTGTCTAGGTAGTTGAGGACATCTGCAGGGTTCTTAAGTCGACCGCGTGGAGCTCCGATGGTCAAGCCTTGCGAATTCGAGATGTTCCAGCGACAACATTTGGTTGAGACTGTTAAATGTCGGAATGACGAGCGCTTAACAGGCTGGGGTTGAGGTCTTCAGTTAGCTCTGCAATTGTCCGTGCTTATTAACGTCAAATGAAGAAAGGAGGTAACTACTAGTAGAGTGCCCCCACCTGATGTCGGTAGCTCCATCCAAGTCCACGGCCCGCCCGGCTACATCTAGACCTTATCACTTTGGAATGACAGGATGAAGCCTCACCAAGCAGCTTGCGGTCTCGAGAGTTGGCAAAATAACCTCCAAAATCATTCAAGCATATGCCAGTAACTACTTTCCTGATAAATTGAAGATACAAACATACATAGCACATATAGTCAAGCAGAGGGTGAGATCATTATTTGGTACGTAGACCCTACTGGCTCGCTACGCCAACTGTGATGAAATCAACAAATGGTTATGTTTTTCAATTTCAGAGAGCAGCAAGAAACGACCAGCCAGTCAGTCCTGTGTGGCAGCACATGTCACAAACCGCTTTTATGACAGCCTTTAGTATAATGCAGTTGGCATGTGATGTTAGTTTATCTAGAGAAGCAACGACATTTCGGATGCTCGGCCTTGTAATGCCACAATTCAGAGATCGCGTCTCTTGCTCAGACCTATGTAGGCATTCGCAAACTGTGTTACTCTTTCCTCATGGGCCGCCGACGCTTGACCAAAACAAAAGGAATACTGGACCAAGCAAGGTCAAATGATAGCCCCTGGGGCAAAAGTAGCAATTCGGCTTCTTAAATGCTTCCGTCCCATATCAAACTTCTAGCAGGAAACAAACACAGGTTTCTTCCATGTTCTGTAATCTGTTTACCCTCAGCTCCTTAATCCAAAAATAAATGGAAAATGCCGTGACTAGCCAGAAAGGTTGCGAAACAAAACGACGCATCGTACACAAGATTACGGCCTTGTAAAAATACATATATATACTAGAGGCTGAAGTCTTTTGCACCAGCAATCCCCATATAGACTTGGACAGCACCAAGAGGACGATTGTCAGCATGCTGGCCAATTCAATCGCCCTTTTTATGAGCGGCCCTATCATCAACGCTGAACTTGGTCCTGCCTTTAATTATTGTACTACCATCGGTCCTCCCCGTAGTCACAGAGTGTCCTGAGCCCAACATGCTCGTGGAAACGTCGCGTGCCGCCTTGCCATCATCACTTGCTGTATCTGTCAACTCGATTAAATCGGTGGCACCTGGGTCTGCTGACAGGCCCGCGGGCCGCAGACGACCTCCCAGGAGCGGTGTACTAGGACGCTTAGCCAATGCTCCACGCAGCCAGTGCTCAACTGCTGCTGCTGCCCTATCTAGACCAGTACCTTGTCGAGAGGTAGAAGACGCATTTCTGCCGTCTCCAAACGGGCTTTCAACAATGCCACATGCGCTTTGCCCAAATCCAAAATTTGCGGTCTCCGAACCCATTACAGACATCGAAGGCAAGGCTTCCATATCGAGACCTGGGATGTGTTTTTTCGTCCAAGAGTTGAAATAATCTGTATCCGGCCCAGGTGCTCTCACAGTTCTGCTCATAGAGCCCACACCACCCGGCCGTCGCATCCATGCAGGCCGGGTGTCAGCTGCCTCACTTCCAGCCCGACTCTGGGAGCACATTGGTGTGCCGGGAATCATAGGACGACCACTGACCGAGCTTAACCGACGAGTGGAAGGGCGTTCGACAGAATTTGGAGCGAGGCTCGATAGGTCTGAGCTCCGTCTTGGAGTGGATATTGGCGATGCAGTCCTACTACTCTTTTTCCGTCGTGGTGGAAAGTACCCTAGAGCTTGTCGTGCCACCCGTACAATTTCAACCGGCTGTCTAAATGAATCGATCTGCACCCAGCGAACGTGGGACCAAGGGAGATCTTCTGTTCGCTCTTGCTTTGCATCTATGTGTGAAGAGTCAGCCGACAGGCTGAGGGTTCCTCTATACGACCCATCGGTAGCAAATAAAGATTCTCTAGCTACCGAGGAATCCCGTGCCAAAAAATCTGCTTCATGTCCGTAGGACCACGACGGTGGATCACATGGGCGTCCTTTTATCTCGCAAGCATCCACAGGGATAATCAGCCACTTGCGCATCTGGACGCTGTCTCGAGACCAAAGACCGTTGGATTTCCGAAAAATATCTTCCCGGCACTTATATCGAAGTATGATACCGGCGTAAGTGTCGCTCGGTTCGACGTTGTGAACGTAAACCAGATGCTCCTCAGGTTCCGGGTCCAAGGGGCAGATCTCATTCGACGTACGACGCTTTGGCTTCCCGGTGACATCGAGGCCACCATTCACCCCCTCATGGCTTTCCAAAATACTCGCCGTTTTTGCGGCTTTCAGAGCATCCCGTCTCTTGGCCAGGGATCCCACCCCAATATCGTTACTCCTCTGTTCCCCTGATGGCGGCGATGGCCCCCATGTCTCTGATCGGGAACCGCGGGGAGTGCGAGGGTATGGTTTTGTCGACCGAATTGCTTTGGAAGACTTATCGACGCCGGAAATCAATGTCGAAGCAAACGCTTGAACTGAGGTCCAGCTCTGAGTCCAAGAATCTCCTAGAAATTGCGCAAAGTCGCCGCCGGTTGAGCCTTGATTTGGAATTGGATCTTCCTGCGACCTTTCCAATGTCAGGGGGACGGCTTTATTCCTATGTGTAGCGCCTTGTAGGGGGTATGAAGTTCCACTGCTCTTCGTAATCCCAGTTGTCATTGACGGCCGGTACGTCTTGTCAACAGTCTCGACGCGACGACTCCGGGGTCGGGCAGCATCCGAGGCCGAGTCATGGGACAATGTTGAAAGAGAAGATGACGTCAGGTAGGTTTGGGCCTTCGCTGGATTGCCTCGGTCGGTCATGATGACCGCGAACTCAGCGACAGCAGCTCGCTGGTTGTATTGTTGCAGCTTCGCATCAGGTCTCTGCTAACACAAGCACTGGACTGGGGGTATCGGGAATGCTGCAGCTGAAAGGTGCCCGATAGACCAAATAGCGAGGACGAGGCAAAATATCGTATAGACAACACGATTAAGAGAAGGTTGGTTCGACTGTATTGGTGATGTTCATGGTCCGTCGTCGGTCGCGATTGATTAGGAGCTAAGAGGACACGCAATGATGAGGAAACAGTGAGTAGTGTCGCCTGTCCGAGGCACCAATGAGCAGAAGTGGGGAGTTCCAAAACGACAAGTAGAGTGGGGCCGGACCTGCATCTCCAGGACATTGCTCCGCCCCAAGTTCGTAGTTATAACGTGTATCGACCTACCTTCTTGCTACTTGAATACTAAAGCAAATAAGGTGGAAAAGAGTTACAGTTAGTTCAAGATGGATAAATACGGCGGCTTGTTGGATCTCTTGCATGAACGCGCGAGTGGAGAGATATTTATACCATCACACTCAGCAGGCAACAAGTCAATCCCAAAGGCTCGGGACATCCTGTTTGGGTGTATTTTCGTGCAGACCAATATGTGCCAACAGCGTTACTAATGTGGTGCATTCTGAACAAGGTGCTACAGAGCACCAGAAGTATTTTGAATCATACCTGACCCATCTAGTTATAACATAGTACATACCATACCTATCTGTTCAGGCCACAGCGGCGCATCCATCCAAAAAGAAGCGGTAGTCCATATGAATGAGATTACTTGAATCCTAGGCGCTGCCTCCTCCGCCGTAACTATTTGCTGAGCGAATTGGTTATAAGACCCATCCATATTTGGTCGACTCTCTTTGCGTATACCAATTTAAACAATTGGTCAGGCGTCTGTGAGCCAAAATAGAAAGAACACATACTCACACATACCAGCTTAGTTGAGGATATCGTGTGCCAGCATTATCTTCCTAATCCTGTTGTGACAAGATCGTCAACCATACACAAGTGCTTGATCCTCGCCAGTTCTTTCTTTTGCGTTTTACATGCGCCTAGATATTAGGGCTCAAAAGTTGGACAGGTTCGACTGAGCCAGGAACGCAAAGGTGGCTTCCGTAAAATGATGGAAGCAGTAACGCGTGTTGCTAGCTTCATGTTTCACCTCAACTCAGGGATACGTCGAGATTCAAATTGCTAGCATCACCGTTGATGCCAAAGAATTGGAACCTGCATACTGGATTAGCTGCGATGAAGGAAGGGAGCCGTAACAAAAGGAAACATTTGGCAATATAAAGAAAAGAAAAGAGGGGGGGAAATGGTAGGGAGGGAAGCCAATCGACTTACCAATCCTCCACATTCAAGGTCGTGGGAGCAGGTTGCCCTTGGGCTGAGCTTGTGCTCCAACTGTCTGGACTTTGTCCGTCGTGCATGCCCCCGTCGTAATTGGTATGCCACATGCCGGCAGATGCATGAAAGCCTTGCGTAGGTACGCCACCATTTCCTTGTCCTTGACCTCTAGCCTGAAACTGGCTTGCTTGGCCTTGTGACATGCTGTTGGGTGTCATCTGCGCCACCAGATTGTGGTTCAGTTCTTGATGTGTTTGTGTCGGAGATAGAGTAGGGAAAGCAGGCATGCTGGAGCTTTCGGGGAAGAGCTGATCAGGTTGAAAATTTTCCCAGAGCGATTGCGACAAATTTGGCGAGTTTCTGGTTACAAGATAGAGATCTGGGGGCGTAGCGGGAACTGAAAATGAGGGATTGAATGGGGTTGCAGGTCTAGTCTGAGGTCGCGAATTGGTTCCGCCCATAAATGTATCTGCCACGCTGGGTCGACTATTGGGAGACGCGACAGTCGGCGGTTGCATAGCCGAAGTATTTTCTGTTTTGATTGCACTCGGTGTTTGAGGTCTAGAGCGCTCATAGGATTCCTGGGGCGTTGGGGCGTTTGCGGTGAAATCGATGGCCATGTCGTCATACTTCCTCTTCGAAACGTCTTGAGCTTTATTCTGCTGCTCTAATTGGGACAGGCTTTGTTGCATTTTCCGATGACGCTTCCCACCCGCCTTTTGAAGGCGTTCTTCTAGCATCTTGTTGCCAATAATGGACTCGAAAAGGGCGTAAACCATCTTACCGACAAGCCAGACCCGTGATACTTCCTTCAATGCTTGCATGCAGCTTCTCAGTCTATCCTGCGTAACTTGTTGGATTGATGGGACAGGAGACCTCATCTGATACACATGCATAATCAGCGCTGAGAACAGGCTGTAGACAATGAATGCCGGACAATAGCGTAATTCCTTGTGTGCGGCGAGATTTTCTATAATTGACGTAATCATTGCTGCAGCTTGAAAAGCGATATTCCGGGATGGGTAAGGGGAGTCATCCGGAAAGCTTCTTGAGCCGCTCGGGGGCATGTGTGCGCGATGCAGGAGGCAGAGGGTTGTATAGTAATTTGAATGAAGTAG